GAACTGGAAAAAAAAAAACAAAGTAATAAAATAAAGAAAATATTCACGGTTCCTATATGACGGATTTTGGTATCAAATTAGTTATTAGGATAGAAGTTTTTACTTTTAAGGCAAGAGGAGATTATATAGACTATATATAAGACAATAAATTTCAAGCACAACTAACGTTTATAGCAAGACAATTGTTTTAGCCATAAATGATGCATCGCGAAATTAGGTTCGGTGACCACTTAATTAACTATTAGGTGTACTAGAAAGACAAAAATTAACTATTAGGTGAATGTCATTGAAGCAATACATTTTTTTCGGGTTAAAAAAATACTGTAAATTTAAATTGATAACAATTTAGTCTTCAAAACTTTAATGTAACAATTTAGTCACTAAAATTTAAAATTTGTAGTAATTTAGTCTATAGATCAATAATTGATGAGAGACCAAATTTATTTATAAATTATTAAGATTAATTTGTTATAGGATAAGAAAACGACGCTTAATTTTGATTAGATTTTTTTAGGTATTAGATTATTACAAATATTAAACTATAAAAACTAAATTGTTACGTACTAAAATTAAAAGAACTAAATTGTTACAAATCTCAAAATATAGGAACCAAATTATTAAAAATTAAAATCGTTACAAAAATATAAAGATTGAAACGTATTTTTTAACATGCAATTTCTTTTAAATTGCTTTTGTAAATCTAATATCTCATCAAGAAAATTAACAAATCAAAAAAGTAAGATCGATCAACAACTTTACTGGAGGATAAAACAAAATCTGCGACGAAAAATAATTTAGACGACATCACGCTATCAAGTTGATTCGGCCAAACTAACGGACAAGATGTATGCATTGGAAGGTTATGTAATTCTAAATTTATCTAAGAACAAAAATAAAACCTTATAGTTATTATTTTTATTTTATCAATTATTAATTCGCTTTTGGCCACGTAGCGCAGGTTTAGGAGTGGCATTATATTGAACTAAAAAAAGAAGGGGCATTATATTACTGTTAAAATTTCTAATTCTACTTTAGCTTCATTAATATTTTGAAAGTTTAAAGTCTCACCCTTATGATTGCAATATTTGTTTTTTATTACAAAATAAAGAAAGAAATAGCACGAGTTATTTGTTGTATAACTTTAAAAACGTAACAAAAATTGCATTATTGTTTTTTTTTTTTTTTTTTGACAATTATCATTTAACTTTCTAAATATTGGCATTGGTCCTACCTATCCATTTACGCTTTTCAATTAAAACAGTACACACAAATTCATGGATTTTAAACAGTGTGCTTTTTGGACTTCAATATATATATATATATATGTATATATTTTGAATAAATGGACTTCAATATTATTATAACAAAAAAAAACATTACAAATTCATTTGTCACATTTGAATTTTTTAAATTATCCCATTACATACATCTCGTAAACAATCAGTATACTCTAATAAAACTATAAATCATTACAAAAAATAAAATAAAATTAGAATATTGAAACCAGATTGATACAATTAAAGTATCGATGCTTGCTTATAAATAATAGCTACTTATTATAACCCTGTGACTTGGTACTTGTTTAAACTTTTTTTATATGAAATCCTTTAAAAACTATGATCACTTTTATGGTTTTATTTGCTTTCCACTTTTACCCCTCTAGAGTAGGGTTAAGTTGGAGTACTTATTAGTCTCTTGGGTAGGGTGCTAACATGACCTCCTATTAGAGCTCAATTAAGTTAGGTTTGCTTTCTTTCATCTTTATCCTAATCCTCTCGATTAGAATTATGGAAAAGCCCAAGTTATATTCACCTAAAATCTTAGGTTAAAGTTTAATAATATTGAAATATTTTCCACACATATTAGGAGTTAGAAGTTGTCTTTTTAGTACAACATGTAGCAGTGGTGATTATTCAAACTCATGATTATATTCAAGTTGATAATTAGAAATTCTCCTTCAATCCCTTAACGTTTCATTTTTTTTAGTACAATAAATAAGAGTGGGGAGTGGGGAGATTCAAATTCGTGACCTTTTGATAAAAAACAAATTTGACACCTAAAATTTCATGAAAGTATATCAGCTATACAAATATTTTAATTTCAAATTTAAAAATAACTAAATCAAAATTTATGGGAAGCTTTATTTTATTTTTTTTTTTTAAATAGGAAGAAATACATAGAGATCAAAATAGTACGGAGAGAGAGAGAAAAAAGATATTGAAGGTGATGGTGAGAGAGACGTGTGTAAAAGAAAAAATTAAAAAAGAAAAAAGAACCTGATACAGTGATACTATTATATATATGATGGTATCTTGGTGCTTTTTGTGGTTCAGACAGATTTGTGGGTCAAAACTATATTGAGTTGTTTATTTGAAAAAAGAAAACAAATTTTGTCTGATTGATAGGTTCGGTGAAAAAGACATAAATTCACAGACGAGAGAGAGATACAGAAATCGCAAAAAGCAGATTCCTTTTTTCCATAGCCCTAACCCTAACCCTACTACTAGTTGGTACATACCATATGCAGTATGAGCATCATCAACCCTTTTTTTTTTCCTTACATATTATTATTGATATGTTTCTTTATTTATTTATTTGTAGATTTATATATAATATAATACTTCTCCCAAGTTGGTGCAACTCCATGTTCATTAGTTTGCTTTCCGCTTTCCAGAGGCCAAAAGAGGGAAGAACTAGAAGAAGAAGAAGAAGAAGAAAATGGAGCTCAGTCAACATGGTTTCTTGGAGGAATTGTTAGCTTCCACTCCTTGGACCTCCCACTCAAATGGGTTCAACGATTTCTTCCAAAATGGCTGGAATTTCAATTCTTCTTTTGATGAGAATCCCGCCATGGGTACCCCAAATTTCCCCCATTTTCCTGGCATTCAAACCACGCCAAATGATTTTCCTTTCGGCGACCAACTCCTCTACACTAATTTCCTCGAAGGGTTTGCAATGCCGGAGCTGGATTCCTCCTCCTACACCAAGAACAACGAAACCCCACCATTTGTTTCGCAGGAAGAAATTATGAGTAATAAAACGCCTCCGGCGGCGGTGGAGGAGGAAGAAGTTGGTTTTCTGGAGAGCAAAGTGGAAATGGAGCAAATGGTTGGCCCTGAAGCTCCTGCTTTTAAAATGGGTGTGCCAGAATTGGGGAAGAGAAGCAGCAATAAGGCCAAGAAAATTGAAGGCCAGCCCTCCAAGAATTTAATGGCCGAAAGAAGGAGGAGGAAGCGATTGAACGATCGCCTTTCAATGCTTAGAGCAATTGTCCCTAAAATAAGCAAGGTGAAGCTCAATCCATGCTCTTTTGTTTTTCTTTTTTACTGTCTCTTTGTAACTTAACTTTTTCTTTCTTATGCGAACCAGATGGACAGAACATCTATTCTTGGAGACACAATCGATTACGTGAAAGAACTACTTGAAAGAATCAATAACTTGAAGGAAGAAGAAGAGGTTGGTGTAGATTCAAACCACCGGAGCTTAAATGGGATCTCCAAGGAACCCAAGCCCAGTGAAGTTCTAGTGAGAAATTCCCCCAAGGTGGGGTTTTACTGTTGTTGTTTTTACTGTTTGATTTTTTTTCTTTTAACTCTGCTATTGCTAATGGTTGAAGTTTGGTTTTTTTTTTTTTTTTTTTCAATACAGTTCGATGTTGAAAAGAGGGAAAGGGAGACTCGAATCGACATTTGCTGTGCGACGAGGCCAGGATTATTGCTGTCCACTGTCAATACATTGGAAGCTTTGGGCCTTGAGATTCATCAGTGTGTTATTAGCTGCTTCAATGATTTTTCAATGCAAGCTTCTTGCTCTGAGGTTTTGTTTCTTTTGCTTTCTAATATTAATTTCCATGTCTTTGTGAGTGCTTCTTCTCGTTTTTCTCAATGGGAAAAAAATGTTGGGTTTTTTTTGGTCAGCAGGGAAGTGCCCAGAAAGCAGTGGCAAGTTCTGAAGATGTAAAGGAAGCATTGTTCAGAAATGCAGGATATGGAGGGAATTGCTTGTAGAGGAAACGCTTAAAGTGAAGAACATCAATGGCGTTCTTCCAAGGGATGATGAATGACGAATCTGTTGCAATTAGAAATAATTAATCCGAATAGGCTATTTCCAATAACTGATCTGGGTTTTATTTGCTGCATTTAGTGATTAGACTTGGATACACACACTCTAATAATGTACCAAAGCAGATGAAAGCAAAGAGTTCCATTTCTTATGATATTACTTTCTTCTTTAGTTGCTCCAGATTATAGCAGTCACTTGTTCATGTTTTCCTTTCTATCTGATTAACCAGAAATGGAGTTGCTCTGTATGCGCTCTATTAACATATTATGCTTCGATCACATCAATACGTCATTGTCTACATAAGTCGTGACTGTATAAGATGTATACAAAAACCGGATGGCTTCGAGAACTGCTGTTGGCATAGACTACAACTTCTGGAAGTTGGTAACTACACAAAAAGAGGAATCTCATTTATGCACATATACAAGCGATCTAAGGCAATTTTGGTGAAGATAAAAGAATGAAATGTATCATGTTTCATCTTTCACTTTCATAATCGATGTTGTCACTACAATCGTTACCATCATCAAAATCAAGTTCGCTCGTGGAACTGGCATGCAAGTCTTGTAACTGGTGGATAGCGTTCCTTGCATCAGAAATCAATGCATTTTTAGCAGCTCTAAGATCATTAGTTCTTGCAGCATGGCCTTCCTTTAGAACCTTCTCTTCAAAGGTGCAGTTTTCTACGCACCTTGACACTGATTTTCTCTTTGCTTCCCTATAATGTAACTGGTCAATGTACTTCTCGTGCAAGGACCTGTTCTTCACCTGTTTCAGTACTGGTGGACTAACAACAACTGTCTCGACTGAGCTGCTAAATCTTGAACGGGGCTTCTTGTGGTTTGGCAAGGATCTCTCGTGAAGGAATTCTTGATTTCCTAGTAAACCCTTTGTGCTACAGAGTTCTTTACTTGGTTGAGGGGACTGATGAGAGAGATTAATATTTGGCTCGAGTAGTGAGAAAAAATCGGCCTCACAGCTCAGCGCCCCCTGATAATTCTTCTCTAACAAAAATCTCACAGTTTTCTGCGCATTATGGCTTTTCTGATTCTTGCGACTAGACTTTCTAGCCTTTGCACCATCAAGATTTAGAAGTTTACCTTCTGAAGGTGACAAAAGTTCAATTTGAGATGATTTTGTGCTCCGTGCTCTGGATCGAGGTCGAGGTTGAGGAGGGGTCATATGGTTGGAATGAACTTTATCAAAGCAATCTTGGGCAGACTTTCCAGGCACCTGTGAATTGTATTGCACATAACTCAAGGTTAAAGTACATTACTTTTTCCCTTTTCAACAAAATGATGAAGTTATTGCCAGCCAAAAAAGTAGACTTTACGGACCTACTATATAAACGAGGGAATGAGCTTTCAAGAAGATACGTTGCCAAACAGAAAAATAAAGAAATGCAGACCGTACCCTTCCAGAGGCGCTATGAAATAACCAGTGCATCTTCTTATCTTGAAAATGTATAAAACCCATTGGACGTGCTGTATAAGTAGAAAAACTACTTCAGCTTCCAGGGTAGAAACCTTGGTCCATTACAGATCGAATGTTAATATGAACGTTTTCTTTGAGTTCGTCTCCAAGTTATCATTATCAAAATTAAATCCATTGTTCATTACTCCTGAAAATCCAAAAAAATGTGCAAGTGCGCTCATTAAAGCACTTGCATACAACCAGCAGTCAAAACGTACCTACTGAAGTGGGAAAAAATGGGAAAAAGGCTGATATGAGGAGAAAGGAAGAAATAAACTAGAAGAACAGCTGCATATAATCAAGCTCAGCAGGCCCCTGTGATTCCTAAAACCAATATGCGACCTCCACCAATTAACACAATCCTAAAAATTGCAACTTCTCTCATAAAACAGTTCCAAATTGGGTCATATCTTATACGTTTTACCTTTCCAACTAATCAAAAAGATGCCTGGTAAGATTTTTCCAATATTTCTCAGAAAATTGAGGTTCATATCAGAAGACAAACTAAAGCAAAAATGGAGTGTAAAAACAGTGAAGTACCAAATGTCAAGCAGTAGAAAAGATAGGCAAGCAGGGTAAGTCATCTAATATCGAAAGCTTATGAGGCAGGAAATACCAGTTTAGAAACCTTCTTCCAAAATTTGGGAGTGGGCTTAGCAGCATAATAAGCTCTGTGTAATGCGGCTTCCTGTTCTTCAGTCCACCCTTGTCTAATCCCAACCACATCTTCCTCTCGCTTTCTTTTCCTTCTAGCCACTGACTTCTTTTTCATTTCTCCATCAACTACTTGTGTTCCCCCAGATTTTGCTACATTAGCCTCAGGATCAGCAGAATTTCCCTTCCTCCTCTCTCCTTCAGCCACATTTTTCCCGCTGGAGCTCACACTCGTATCAATATTCTTAACATGTAATAACCCCTTTTTTTTATCTGAACCGCTGGACTTCTTTCCCCTGTCCCGGCCGCATCTCTCGAGAGCGTCTTGCTGACACGAAAACATTCGAGACTTGCCGGTACTCTGGTGCTCCCCAACTCCATTATTGAGTCTCGGAGATCTTCTGACCCCAGGGCTGGGACTACTCAAATCACTCGACCGCGCTCCGGAAGTAATTGATGAACTATTTGAAACTTTCGCGTTACGACCCTCGAGCGCATTCTCAATCTTCGGCGCACAGGATAACCTAGGTGACCGTCTTGGAATTCGAATTCCCTCAAACCCATTTTCGAATGCCGCAGACTTTTTTGACCCTGTATTTGAACCCTCGTTTTTACTCGAAACAACACCGGATTTACTCGATTTATTCGTGGTATTTGCAAGAACAGATTTGGGGGTTTTTAGAGAAACGTTCTGTAAGGGTCGGACACAAGCGTGGGAAGAGTGTACCTGGCGGATTGCGGAGTGGGAGCGGCGGACCTCCGGGAGTGTGGGAGCTGAAATGTCATTCTTTTGCAGAAATCTGAGAGATCTTCGAGTGGGGGGGAACTGTTCCTGGCCTGGCGGTGCAGTAAGAGTGCAAAATCTTGGAGATCTTCGAAGAGTTTTGATTTCCACGGAGCTGGTGATGGAGTTTGTGCTGGGCATTCTCACGAACAGTTTGTAGACATCCTTGGTTTGAATGTTAGGGATTACGCGCTACCATCACAAAACTCAAAAATAATAAATAATAATAATAATAATATAATTAAAAAAAAAAAGACCGAAAGGCTGGGCTTATGGGCTATGTTCTGTTAGGCCCAATACGACAATTCATCTTTTTGGACTCCATGCAATTTCAATTTTTTTTTTTTTATAATTAAATGGGTGGCTAAATTTTGACAAATGGTCATTTATTCGTGACCTTTTGTAAACGTTAAAAGTAAAACAAAAATATAACTGAACAAGAAAATGAGATTTCCTTCCCATATATATTTGGGATAAAAGTTCACTTCATTAATTTTGATCTGTTTGGAGATTTTTCATTAATTACCTAGAACACTTCATTTTAGATATTAAACTATGATAGATATTAGTGGTAATATGCACTAGATCAGTAGCCATGGTCTATATAAAAAATTTGTTGTAGTAGGGCTTGCATGTTTTGATATTGTTTATGGTGAGTTCTAATTTGACTCAAGAACTATGAACATCTGAATGAGTTAGTAAGGAAAGATTTGCACAAAAAAATAATAAATACTCTGATGCTCAATTTAGTAAGGGACTAATCTATAGTCTCAAGTCGAGATTTAGATTGCGTGTTTGAGGTCAAAGTGATGCTTCTATTTATAAGGGATTAGGTGATGATGACATCTGATCGTTTTGTTATGCTGTCAGAAAATTCGTGAGTTTGACCAAATTATTAAGTCACCTTTGGTCCAACTTCAAAGATGGGCCATGTTATGTCTACGAGATTATGGGAAACATCTAGCTCTTACCTACCTCTAGATCTCTACATGGCAAGTCCATTTTTACCCTCTAGTAGATATTGAGTTTCAAAGCATCTTTTAATAGTTTTGTGAAATTAAAAGTTTTTTCTTCTTTTTTACAAAATGTGGGAGTGGATGATCGAACTCACAATCTCTTAATTAGATATATATATCAATTACCGCTGAGTTATGTTCGTCTCGGCTTAAAGGTTAAATCTTCTAAAAAAACTAATAATAATAATTTCATCCTAAAAAGATAATGAAAACTACAATACGTAAAGGGCATGATTGATATTCCATCTACAAAAAGGGTTAAAAATGACATTTGATGTGCCTAATAAAGGAAAACAGTATGAGTTTTGTGATTGCAGCATATAAAAAATTAAAGGAATTAGATTCCTGTGCATCATCACTTTTATCCAATCCTAAGAACAACAACCCATTATTATAATGGAGAGGGGGATTATTGTTTACTTTTTTTTTTTCTTTCTTCTTTGGGGTAAAAAAATAAAATATTTTATTAATAAGAAAAAGGAAAAAAAAAAGTAGCTTTTTGAATAAAAATTGTACCTAACTTTGTCACTAGGAATTCCACTATAACTGCTGATTTTTGTATCCAAGTGGTTGTTTGAATTTGCTGTGTGCTATGTAGTTTCCCACTCTCCATCTACGTCCCTTTCAATCTTTCCTATAACCTAATTTCCCTATTTTCCTATCTCTTTCTTCCCATTTAATATATTATCTCTTTGTCTTTCCTTTATTTTTCAATATAATTTAAAGTACCCAGTTTCATATTTTTCGCTATCTAAATTTATTCCATTCTTTTTAGAAAAAATTAGTTGAAACCATACTAGAAATTTGTTAGGGTGGTTGAAATGATTTTTTTCTTTTGAGTTGTATCCTCGTAGAATTAAGAATCGAACCATCAACTTCTAAGATATTAATAAATTCTTTTATTTACTTGAACTATGTTTGAATTATTAAGACCGATAAAAAAATATGGACGAAAATACGTTTATCCAACATGATATTTTTACAATATTGATATATGACGTAGTAATTATTGTGTTTGAGGGTGGAATTTCAATACTTAAAGAAATGTTTCTACCGTATTGTCTCTTAAAAGTGTCGATAGTAATAGTATTTTTTTAAATTAAAACGCTGTCTTTTTTTTTTAAGTAGAGAGAGTCGTTGATGCGTGATTCTAGCACAAGTAAACTTTGTTGATAATATATTTGAGGTGGAGCTGGTTTAGCTAAAGTTGTGACCTACAAAACTTGCACGGGTGGGATGTTATGTTCAACACACTCTAATGCTTAAATTACTATTTAGGTAGAGGTGGTGTCGAGAGCTGAAGTGAGTGATATTACGTACCTAAGTACGAGGTGAGTTTCACTGTTTATAGAGAACAGACAATCCTACAACCTAGTCATTTTATACTCGGGTTCATATCACCAGCCAGAAGACATGTCAACAAGATATATATATATATATATGATACCCAAACGTTGTACTTTGAAACGTGTCGATTGGATATCGATACATCGTACACCCATACACCAAGCGTGACTCGAGGTCGAAGACTCCAAGGTGTTCCCCCACCTCATTTTTGGCCAAGGTGGGGCCTACTTCACCTATGTGGTCAAGGTGTAAGGTCTGCCTCTATATGTTGAGGTGCATCTTTATTGGTTAAGATAGCTCCACGTCATTTTGCTACGGTGGTCATTTATTCACCCCTAACCATACTTAAAAAGTGTTTTTATCAATTAGAAAAGACATTTAAGAAAATATTTTTTAAACTTGTTGTCTCTCAAAAATGTTATAGTGTTTTATATTAAAGACAATGTTGTTCCTTTTTTGTTTTTTTTAAATAGAGAGCGAAAAAGTTTTATCGTTTGAATGTGTAGATGATCTAGTTAAGGAAGAAAAAAAAACACTTAATGTACAAAGACGACATATATTTAACAAACCAAAAAAGAGAAAGAAAAAGAAAAATAATCTCAAAGTTGAACACTAGTTAAGTTAGTTCAATATTTGGAATACCTAAACTTTAAATTGAAGTTTGAGACCCCACATCTATATTTGTTGATTAAAGAAAGAAAAAGAAAAACAGATTTTATTCTCCGAAAATCTGAAAGCATTATTAAAGCAAAAGACTTAACAAAATGAAAATCCTAATAAATGATTTAATAAGGATAGAGGAGCGGTTGATTTGTGCCTCAAATTAAAGCATAAAAAAAATGGCAGAAAATGCCAAAAGCAGGTTGGAGAAGTGGGTTGAATTGAAGGCGATATCCGAGATCCTACTTGTCAAAATGTATATTATTTATGATCATTACTCTGACTACTGACCGGGTTAAAAGTGGGCAATTGGATTGAGATTTGAGACCCAATTTTATTCGAAATAGAAAAGAAAAAAGGCATGCATGTTAGTGTTACGTCTCTCCACTGCGATGTGGGTATTCAAAACTTTAAGCACTGAGAAAAAAGGGAAACCAATTGCCACTGCCCACTACGCATTGTCCCACACCAACGCTTTGGTCAGCCCACCCCATTAGTGACCACATCAATGAACCACCTTATGCTCCGTACGTTTGTGGCCGATTCACAATTAAAATAGAGAAAATGCTGAGTATTTTTCTTTTTAAATTGTTACATTTGTAAAGTAAAGGTAAATAAAGTTTTACACGAGGATATATCCAAAGTGGACAGACAATATATACCACGTGAAACATTCGACTAATTCTTAAGGCATATGGTCATTATGGGATTCCTCTTAATTAACCCTATCCCATGATGGTTTATATTGGAGGTTGAACTCGCCTAAACTTGCTTTTCTACGTCATTTTAAAATTTTAATGTATGAATCAATTAGCACATGATATTTGTATCTTTAACCAATATCCTAATTTGATTTTTGGTGGCTTAGTTAGTTAATGATTCTCTTAAAATATAAGTTGTGTTTAATTACAAACACTAAGGAAGAGTGAACTACCATAAATAATTATTTTAAGGATTCTAGTAAATTTATAGACCTATTTTTATTGATCAATTCATAGACTAACAAATATTTATGTCATATTTACAAAATTCTAAAGCATTACTTTTTTAAAAGACTACTATACACTTCATTTTACTGAGGCATACTTCCACTAATTATATTTTTAGGGATCTTTTTATCTAAACTTCTATTATTAAAAATAATAATAGTAAGTGACAACAAAATCATATGATGTAAGACCTTTATTCTTGCTAATCAAAAAGTGGTTGGGAAAAGAATTTAGAAACAAAAAGGAAAAATGAATGGTGGACATGACTATAAAACCTTTAATAATATTCTGTTTGATAATATTGTTTTTAGAACTTTACTTCTAGAAAAATTTATCATTGTTATCATTTAAATGATCTGTTTTAAAAAATGAATTTTAAATTTTAGTGAAATCCACAAGCATTCATGAAGAAATTAGCTTTCCCAACCTAATTTGCCTTCTCATTCATTCCTACTCTTTAGTTACTCCGAGAATTGTTTTTTATCTTGTTTCTAAAACGAGCATAGCTCAACATTAATTGATATATATCTCCAACTAAAAGTTTGTGAATTCAATCTATCATTCCTACATCTTATACTAAAAAAACAGTAGTATAATTAGTCCATAAAAATTGCAGGAGTTCTAATAAGGATATACATTGATCAATTTTATTATTATTTTTTTTAGTACTACATGGATCAAGTCAATGGAAGATATTTTGGGACTTGGGAGGACACCTCAAAAGGGTATTAATTACTTCACAATATAACTAAATCTCAATTTATGCAACTAAACAAAGAAACTTAAATTTCTATACTTTCCATCAAAATGATGAAGAAAAATGAGTTATAAAAACATAGATTCGTGTAGGTTTTGTTTAAGTTGATACTTCGTAAAAATTTGTAGATCAAGAGATAGAGGGGTTGGTGAGTGAGGATGCTTGCACCATCTTCAACTACTCAATTTTCTATTTAGATGTTCAGGAATTTTTATTTAAAGTATATATTATCAATCAAAATGTTCGAATGTTCCCAATGTTCCCTTTTGTCGTATTTTTTTACTAGAAAGAGAGAATAAATAGTTAAAATAAATTAGGTGGGGGAGTGGATGACGTTTAATAGGGAGAAGTACAAGTTTGAAGTGGTGGTTGATTGGGTGGTACGTGCGGAAGATGTACTTGGAAATGTGCTCAATCATGTGCTTGGAGAAAAATGGGGGATTGCATTAAATTAAATTAATAAACAGAAAAACCCATGTTCATATTCTTCCCAATTTCCACCTTCTATAAAATGGTCAATGGTTTCTGCTATACGGAGCTGGAAGATCAACCAAAGTGCTCCATAATGGAAACATGATGAAAATTTATCATTAAATTGTGACAAGATTAATTTTCGCTTTCAAGTCAAATTTTCGACATCATTTCATTAGGAAGTGGATTTGAATGATTTCACCTTTACGGAAAAATAATAATAATAATCTTAACCAGTAAAAATTGTTTGGATCTATAAATAAAATCTAACATAATTATATGGCTGCAAGTTTTTCATGGACGGAATAACATATCTATTTCTAAATTAATGGTTAAGATATAATGATTAAATTTACTCAAATCTAAAAGATCTCTAAGCATACAAAATATCATGCATTCGAATGTTAACAAAAATGTAAATCGTTATAAACTTCAAACTGCAGGCCGAACTCATCTTTTGTTACTAATGTGAGAGTATAAGAACTTAATCATTTATAAACGAAAGTTTGAATCGTTAGTCCAGCGAGAGTACCATTTCCATTCCGCTTTTTTAAATATTGATTTTCAAACTTGCCAAATTTAAGATATTGATGGCAGCACCTTAAAGAATTTACAGTGTTTGTATTGTACTGTAGAATCTTTTCCTATATAAAATTTGTCCCCAACTCCAAAAGGATCGGCGAGGGAGAGGTACAAAAATCAAAGTACAATCGTGGAGAAAACAAAATAAATAAATAAATAAATAAAAATAAAGTAAAGCATACATGTGCGGAAGACAATGGAAGGAGAATGAAGTTGAAATTGGAAAAAAAAAAAAAAAAAAAGAAACTATATGGGTCAGTGTTATTTGTCATCATTTATGCTTCTTCCCCACTTCCATAATCTAATTTCATCTCCCCATGTGCATTTCAAATTATTATATAGTTTGATATTTCATTGTTTTTATTAGATCCCCCCAAAAGTGCCCGTCCCTATTCATCCCCTTCATGTTTCTTTTTACTTCACCATATCTCTGACAAGATTGAGAGAAATAGTTGTTGAAATTTAAGTTTTAATTTAGTCATTTCAAAAGGACAATGATTTGAGGGAATACTGTAGTATTATTGTGTATAAACAATAATAATTATATGGGTAGAGTGCATTTGTTTCTGCACTTTAATTTGAGTTGGTTGTTATTTAACCCACAAACTTTGTGTTTTATCATTTAGTTGAAAACTTTTGATGTGGTTCAATTGATGTGGTTGATGATCACCTTGGGATGCTATTAGATGATTGTTTTAGTAAAAAGAAAAAAAGATTTAGTGATCATGGATTTTGTGAAAGAGATTTTTATATAATTATTTTTTAACCTTGGGTTTAATACTTTATCAAGCGATTGTTATATAATTAAAAATGATTTTTAATGATTAATATTTAAAGTTTAAAGATATTTTGATAAATTTTTTAGAGAGAAACAAAAGTCTTTAAAGAGAAATTTTAGATAGCAAGAGATAAAGAATTTTGGACAAAGAAATAAGCAAAAAGAGATAAGGGAACAAAAATTTAGAGAGAGATTACAAAAAATCTTAAAAGAAAAAAATTAAAAAGTGATAGAAATTTTGGAAAAAAGAACCAAATTTTGTGAAAATAAAATTAATAGAAAGATAATTTTGAAAATTAAAACAATAACTAGTTTAAAAACTGTCAAAATCACTCACCTTAAAATTGAATAATGGAATATGATGTGATATTTCATTTATTATTTATTGTTTCCCAAATTAAATTTCTTATTTTATAATAAATGTTTCCCAGATCAAATTTCTTATTCTATAATAAAGGTAGGAATCAAGATTGAACCACCTGCAGGGAAAAGCTATCTTAATCACTGAGGTTATTAATTTATAAAATGTATAACTACCAAACGTTTTGTTAGAGATCGACTCCAATAATGCCCATCATGTTCGCTATTTTTTTCCTTTTTCTCTCTCTTTTTGGATTCTTTTCAAGTTGCTTGTACTTAATGCCGAAGTATGATAATATCATTGGTCGTACCAAATTTAATAAAGATGGATCTGAACTCTACATATAAAGCTCCAATCTTTTTAATATTTATTTTTCCTTTCCAATATCTTGCTCAACAGTCTGATGCCTAAAATCATCGGGATAACCTCGACTTGATATTGCTTTTCCCTTTTTGTCCTTTAAGAAAACTGATACTGTTAGTTGTTAATTATATGATTTGTAGTTTGATCCATATTTTATTATGTTGGTAATTGTTTTACTAGATTAGATCAATTGAAAAACTGTAGGAAGCGAATATTCAAGCATTCTTAAAGAAATCCGGATAAAAATTTATATACTTTTTCTGTTTTTATTTTATTTTTTAATTTGGGGTGTGTAACCGTCGAGAGAGAGACGACATTCGGTGACGTAAAATTGGTTGAGAAATACATATCGAAATTCGAAGCATTGGGTTTCCCGAGGGAAGATGAGAGAGAGGAAAGGAAAGTGGAAAGAATCGATTTCTTTCTACTACGCTACGTAGTATCAAGTATGTACACAGATCAATGGTGAACAGAATCTGAATCTGCTAATAGAAAGGAACCGCTATGCGCGGAGGCTTCGGCGGCTTCTCGACTTTGACCTGGATCATCTCCGGCCGCGGCGGCTCCCGAGGGCAGGGCATCGCTATGAACTTGGGGATCGAGTCTCCAGGCATCAGCACCGATAGGCTATCCCTTTGATTTGTCTCCAAATCCTGTCAATTCGTCGATGGTTTTTAATAATCGAGGCTGGATTAAGCAGAAATTAGAGAAAGATGGGAGTAAAAATAGAAAATTACCAGGGAATTAGGGTTAGATTTGGAGGGAGATGATGGGAGGTGAAGGTGGGGATGTTGGGAGGCGGATCGGCGGAGGGATCTGAGTTTGTCCCAGTGGTAGCAGCAGGAGAAGATTCCGCTGAGGGTGAAGATTACGAGGAGGAGCAGAGCAGTGCCGAGGGGGAAGCCTAAGGAGGGTCTGGATGCGTCGGCGTGGGGCGGCGAGAAATCGGGGCTCTCCATCTGGAATCTGTCATGTGTTGGCACAGTCAGGAATTTAGGAATGAGAGAGAAGAAGAAGAAGAATGGAATGAGAAAATGGGAAAGGATTTGGGGAATTTATAATGGAAAACAGAGGAAAGTGGAGGAGGAGGTGGAAGAAGAAAAAAAGTATGTACAATGTAAAGGTACAGCTAAGTACGGAAAAAGAGATGGATCCCACCTGCCTGTACTCTGCACTCATAAAAAAAAAAAAAAAAGTGTGTTATTATTATTTTAACTTTCAAGGTCCGTAGAAAATACTGCAAAAAAAAGAAAAATAATTTATTCGAGTCTTTGATCTTATTTATTTATTTTTTGCAGTGATCAGATTGAACATAGTCTACCCTACACGCTGATTTGGGTGACTTTTAAAGGGTGAGTGAATATGAATTATAATGGTGGAAGGTGGAAGTAGAATTATTATTGATGCGAGTAGCAAAGCAAAGCAATTGAGTTGAGAAGACAACAAAGTAGAGACCAAAAGAGGGTGGTGCGATGCCGTGTGGAATTAGAATTTGAAAATATGCCAATGTCAATGCCAATTGTCATTCCGTTTGTTGACTTTGGTTAAATTCTATGCCCAAAGACAAAACCAACTGCGTTTGATGTCTTCAAAATCCACACACATTTCGATTCACCAAGTAGCAGCAGAAGCAACACAACTTAACCAAATTGTTAACTTGTTCGATTCAAATGATGACTAGGACTACTGATCTAAAATCTAAAAAGTTAAGAAACAGAATGAGATAGAAAGTGGGCCAGCGTAGGTGGCACATGATTGGTTTGTCAAGTGGTGGGATAAAGTGAAAGGCAATGGCAAGGGACAAGGTTCCCCAGTTGCCAAATGGGACGCCGCTCTCCGTTGGCTCCCAATAACTCACCATTCCTAACCGGTAAACTCACCGACTTTTCCATTTCCTCCCATTTTTCACCCATTTAACATGCTCCATGTAAAAGGTATTTGGCTCGATTTTTCACCACCACTAAAAAAATTGACAACCAATTTTTTCATGCGTCCGTGATTACTTTTAATTCTTATATTTGTATTTATGTGGTGGTTGTGGGAAATAAAAGGGTCGTTTTTTAACAAAAGCAATACTTGGGGAACAAGAAGTGTGATCTCAGTTTGAACGATTGGAAAGCAGCCAGATGGTTCTCGGCCTTGGATTTTTTGGTTAGGACCACAATCCCTTGTTCAACTTAGGGGCCACTAGAGAAAATCTATACAAAAAATCAACGATATCAAAAATGTCTGAATCAAAATCATAATTGGCTTTTCCAAAGATAAGAATGTGTGAAATAAATTCCTGGCCGGCACCCATCCTTATGATTCTTTTTCAATTAGATTTCTTGCATGAAATTATATATTATTATAAATTACTTAACATTTAATTAATTCCCTATATTTAAAACGTCCAGTTAGACTTGGACTGGAATTTGGACACGATCCTTGATTAAAAATTACTTGAACTTGTGGAAATAGACTGATTTCTGGATTTTTATCCATCATCACGTCGTCTCTACTTAAAATCATTCATTTTCTAATAGAGTAAAATAAATCATAAATTATGATACATTTAAAAGAAACTGTGAACAATTGCTTTTAAAATATATAATCTTCTTTTTTTCCTTTTTCTTTTTTCTTTCCCCAGGACGGTGGAAAGAGAATGGACTCCGGCCCATCCTTATAAATGGGGTTCCCAATCTCAGCTTATCCGGGCTTAGCCTCCTGCATCATGGCAATGGACAATTTACGGGTCGGCCCAATTCTTTTTCTACCATATCAAACGCTCTGTTTCCAAAAAAAAAATATTTTTAGTCCTTATGTATATAATTTGGGGAAATTTTAAGAATAAGAATAATATAATTTAAAGAAAAAAATTATAAAAATAGATTAGTTTTTAAAGTAATAATAAAAAATTGTAAATTAAATAGAAACATTTTAGAGTGGGTAAATGAATTAATTATTGATAAAAAAAAAAGAGAGGTATTTTTTGGTTTAAAACTCGTATACTAGTATCTAATTTCTAAGCTGTATATGTCCGTATCCACTAAATACGTTCTTTTACTTTTGATACCCTTTTTACCTAAAAGCTCGATTTCACAGTTTTAAATGTATGTGCAATTTAATTTTATTTGTAATGAGGTCGATACAAAAGCTATACCAAATTTCAAAATATTATACCAAGATGGACAATGACTCACGCTCCACACAGTAGTCATCTTCTCACACAAATTCTACGATGAGATTGAGGCATATTAATTATCTTGTGGTGAAAGCTTGGCTCTTTGAGGAGACAAAAAACTGATCGTAGAAAACATTATTAAATAGTTTTAAAATGTTGTTCGATCATATATAGTAGAACTTCCAAAGTACCGTATATAAAGTGTTTAAAGATGTTTGGAGTGTTCCGTTGCGTTCACGACTTGTTCATATGGAAATAAGTAATAATTTTCTGTTTGAATTGTGTGTGATTGTAAAAGCATTCTGAAGTGAGTAGAAACATCTGTTATTTGCTAAAATGATAAGCGCCGTTTACGTTTAGTTGCAAATTAGAAAGGAAAAATAAAAGTGGAGAATTTTAAAAAGCAGAGCAGAGCAGAGCAGGAGGTAGCGAAGGGAGGTATCTTTCACACGTGTGTAAGGTGTGGACCCCCACTCCGTCGCTGTTGGTAATTTTAATATTTTATTGACCTTCAGCTTCAGAAGCCCAACTTCGTTTTCATGTCAGCAGTATAGTCAGGGTCCAACACCCCGAGCCTGAGCCTGAGCCTGAGCCTGAGCCTGAGCCTGCCCTCACCGTTTTCCAAGCAAATTCACCAGTCAGCACACTCGCAATAGTTAATAATAATAATAATAATAAGAACAGAAAAGCTATGGGCTTT